CCCTTTTCCCATCAACTCTCTCTCTCTCTCTCTCTTTGCTTCTCCTTTTGCGTCAGGGGCCATCAGTGTGCGTATACGGGTAGTCGGCGTCCCTGTCGATCCCTTCGGCAATATAATTTCGGCTCGGCTCACCTCTCGCTTCTCTATACGGAGGATGTACACTATGGATGATACTTATCGAGGCAGATTAACAGCTCTAGTAAATATGCATTCATCCTCCGCTACACCGAATGTGCTGTATGAACGTGCCATGGTTGTTTTGTATATACCGATAAAGTATATTATTTGAAGGAAAAAAAAGAAAGGCTCTGGGAGTTTCATCTCTACTTTTATGGGTTCTCTGCTGCACGAGTGTGTCGGAGAATTTGACTCATGTACAAGACGAGTTTCAACTTTTTTTTTCGAGAGAGAGAGATTCGACGCTATCGGCATTGATTGCTCGAAAAAAATCGGGTGATTGGACCTGTCACTCGCGCGTTCAATGAAAATCCGTCGAAAACGCCGATATACCGTTTCTTTCTTCTCCCTCCGCCTATATATCTATATGTATATATATACACTTTGCAAATCGAAATTCATCGTCTTTCGGCTCTCTCTCCACCTCTTCCTTTGGCTGTTCCTGCACTTCTCGGGCACGCACTTGTGGCGCTTGCGGGCAAAACGGGCCAAAAGGCTGAATCCCTCGTTTCTTTGCTCCTCGTACGCGCATATGTATATATACGTATACGGCAGCGGTCCGACCAGTGTTTTTTGCCCACACATACCATGCGCGCGTAAGAGGCTCAAAGGAGGCATGCGGGAAAAAGAGAGAGAGAAGAGCAGCTCCCGAAACAGTAGCCGCACAGCCCGGCGGGGACGTGCACTCCTGCCACTGTTGAAAGAGAGATGAAAAAAAAAAAAAAGTTGGGGCAGCTACCGCCTCCTTGCCACCATATATTATACCCACGGAATTGCAGTCTTTCCCCCCCCCCACCCACCCTTTTTTTCCATCTCCTCCTTCTCTCCCTTTTCAATCGAGTCCAGCTCCTCGGACCGCATCGTCCTTCCCTCTCCTCCTTGATCTTATTTTGCTTTTTTTCTTCCTCTTCCCTCTTGCGTTTTGGTCATGCAAGCTACGCCCGGTTACTCGGACGCTACTTTAGCTAATCCAAAGGAATTTTATGGCCTCGTTCAAAATGTTTGTTGTTTTTTTTTTTTTTTTTCACCTCCTCCGGACCAAATGCTGCGCGGTTTAATTTTGGCCCCAATCTAATTTGCTCCCATACTCCAAACTGGGGCATTACCATTTATATTGTTTATTTTTTGGACCATATAATTATTTAAGAAGAAGAAAAAAGAGTAGCCAAGGGGTCCAAAAAAACGAAAATAGCTGTGTGTACCTTCACTCGCGTATACGCACGGATTATCTCGCATATCGGCCGCGAAGGAAAATCGTACGCGCGATCGGTTGACCCCAGTTGACACTCGACGCTGGCTCGGCTTACAGCTTAGCCGTCGTTGTCGAGGAACAAGACGAGAGAGCTTGTACTCCCTATTAAGCACGCGAATCGTGGGTATCGTCACGCGCGCTCAGATTTCATTGGCAGATGACGCTTGGATCATCCGCCCTTAATTCCCCCCGTTCTCCTTCTTCTCGTGTCCTCATCTTTCTCTTCGATTATAAATCGTCGACAGCTGGATTATTCTTTTTTTCGTCTTGATCGTTTGATAATTTTTTTTTTTTTTTTTCTTTCCATCGCCTCGGCAGATCGCGTTTCGAGCCCGCCTTTTATCGCAGCTACGCGCCAGCTCGTTTTAATTGCGACACGACTACTCGAGGTGTACACCCACTGGTCGCTCCAATTTTTAATTTTCATTTCTTTTTTCTTTTTTTTTTTAACTAGGTTTATTATCACAGAGCCATCCATGCGATTGCTTCTTCCCTTTTTTCCTCTCCTCCGTTGCTTCTCATATTTGTTTCTTTTGCATGATATGGTTGCATGTATGATATATTTGAATCATATTTATCTACAAATTTAAATACGTATACATTTTGCTATTTTGTAGAAAATTTGCTGTAAAACATATTACAGGCGCACCTCTAAAGATGGGCAGTGCCGAAATCACCGAAAATCCCACGCAGAGCGACAATCACGTGTTTCGGCTTATTTACACTAATAATCTTTGTAGGCACATCGCGACAAAATAAACGAGCTTTTACCGTTCTGGCAACAGTACATATATGCACAAACAGCGGCACAAGAAAATCCCTCGGTCCGTTTTTTCAATTCCAGAAGACGCAAGGGCCCAAACTGTTAATCCATCCGTTTGATCCTTTGATCCAAAGCAAGCCCATACCGAGGATCCGCACCGTTTGCCCGACAGCGTGAAGCTCGTGTTGTGTATCTCCATGCCACGGGTGGCAATAAAACCTGATTTACAATATCCAATAAGGTCCTTTACCCTCGCCCTAATCAACGCGAGGGATGGACAGGGCATAGCACTTTGTTCCCTCCGTACTTGGCACAAACACATCTTGTACCTTCGGTACAAGGTTTCTCACAACAGGCTTCTTCGTTTCAGCCCTCGTGAGCAAGAACAACGTGGGTAAATAGGTCCAGCCCCTTCCAGTGCAGCGAACGTCAAGGGGGAAGGAGAAAAAGAGGCGCGCGATGACAGGTATAGTTACGCGCGGCGTTGACTACAAAGAAGAGGGAAAAAAAAAAGTGAGAGAAGAGACCTACCCACCCAGCTAATAATCGACGCCTGATTTCTCCCCCCCCCCTTTTTTTTTATTTCCATCTCATTGTCCGTGAAACGCGATGATACGAGAACTCGAGTTTCCGGCTCTTCGCCGTCGGGCGTGACGGTGTGTTTGCGCGTCCAGCCCATGGTTTTTTATTTTCTGTTCGCTTTTCGGCAGCGTTGCACACTGTTTTTTTTTTTTTTTTT